CCCCCCCCCCCAAAAAATCCCATAAATCAGATAAATTCAATCCTAAAAAATCCTAAAAAAAATCCGATCAATTCCAATTTTTTCCTCTTAAACCCCGATTTTAAACAAATCCGCTTCTTTTCCTTCTTTTTCCCTCAAAAATTCTCTTTTTTTCCCCATAAAATCACATTTTTTTCCCCCCAAACCCCCATTTTCCACTCGAACATTCCATTAAAAACGAAAAATCTCCATTTTTCCCCCCAAAATCTTCTTGGGGTGCCCTGAATCCCAAAATTTGAGGTCCCGGAGGACCTTTTGAGGCTTTTTTTTGGGTTTCTTTGGATTTTTTTATTTTTTGGAACCTTTTTGACTTTTTTTTGAGGGAAAATTTTCACGATTCTGATTCGAAATCCGAAATTTTCTTCGTTTTGGGGACGTTTTGACGTTTTTTTTCCCGTTTTTGAAGGTTTTTTTTTTGGAGCGTTTCCTGACCCTTTTTTAGCCATTTTTTTAAAAAAGGATTTGTTATTTTTGGGACAGATTTTCGGGATTTTCGGTGTTTTCCCCCCCCGTCCCCGATGTCACCGGCCGCGGTCGCGTTTGTGGCGTGGCACCGTTTATTGTCACTGTCGCGATACAGCAGCGCGTTGCCATGGCAACGGGGGCAGGCCTTGGGAGTACACAGGCCGCAGGCTTCGTTGCCATGGCGACAGGAGCAGGCCTTGGGAGTACACAGGCCGCAGGCTTCGTTGCCATGGCGACAGGAGCAGGCCTCAGGCTTTTGGGGTACACAGGCCGCAGGCTTCGAGACCCAAAAAACCACTTGAGAATCCTAAAAATCCACTCGGGGACCTCAAAAATCCACTCAGGGATCCCAAAATCCACCCGGGAACCCCAAAATCCACTCGGGGACCTCAAAAATCCACCCGGGAACCCCAAAAATCCACTTAGGGACCCCAAAAATCCACCCGGGGACCCCAAAATCCACTCGGGGACCCCAAAAATCCAAATCGGGATCCCAAAATCCACTCAGGGAACCCAAAATCCACTCGGGGACCTCAAAAATCCACTCGGGGACCCCAAAATCCACCCGGGAACCCCAAAAATCAACCGTGGGACCCCAAAAATCCAAATTTGGATCCAAAAATCCACTCGGGACCCCAAAAATCCAAATCGGGATCCCAAAATCCACTCAGGGAACCCAAAATCCACCCGGGGACCTCAAAAATCAACCGTGGGACCCCAAAAATCCAAATTTGGATCCAAAAATCCACTCGGGGACCCCAAAATCCACCCGGACACATTTGGGGACCCCTCCCCCCTATTTGGGACCCAGTCCCTCTGTCCTTGTCCCCAAATTCCCAAATTCCCAAATAATTCCCAAATAACTCCCAAATAATTCCCAAATAATTCCCAAATAATTCCCAAATAATTCCCAAATAATTCCCGAATAATTCCCGAATAAATTCCCAAATAATTCCCGAATATTTCCCGAATAAATCCCGAATAAATTCCCAAATAAATTCCCAAATAATTCCCGAATTCCCGGGCCCCTCCCCGACATTCCAAGGTCGCTCCGTGGCCCCGAATTCCCCGGCCCCGCCCTTTGCGTTGTTCCCGAATTCCCAAATTCCCGAATTTCCGGTCCCTCCCCGGCCCCGCCCTTGTGTTGTTCCCATTCCCGAACAATTCCCAAATATTTCCCGAATAATTCCCGAATAACTCCCGAATAATTCCCGAATAATTCCCAAATAAATCCCGAATAATTCCCGAATAATTCCCGAATATTTCCCGGATAATTCCCGAATAATTCCCGGATAATTCCCGAATTTCCCGAGTAAATTCCCCAATAATTATCGAATAAATTCCCGAATTATTCCCCAAATTTCCTGAATAATTCCCCAATAATTCCCAAGTAATTCCGGAGTAATTCCCAAAGAATTCCCGAACAATTCCCGAGTAATTCCCCCCCAAAAAAATCACGAATAAACTCCCGGATAAATTCCCGATTTCCCGAATAAATTCCCGAATAATTCATAAATTTCCCGAGTAATTCCCAAAAAAAAAAAAATCACGGATAAATTCCCGAATAAATTCCGGGATAAATTCCCGATTTCCTGAACAATTCCCGGGTAAATTCCCGAATAATTCCCAAATTTCCCGAGTAATTCCCGAAAAAAAAAATCCCGGATAAATTCCCGATTTCCCGAACAATTCCCGGGTAAATTCCCGATTTCCCGAGTCTCTCCCGTCCCCGCCTTTGCGACCTCCCCCTGTCCCCAAAGGCGCCGCCCCCGAAGGTCCCCGAAGGTCCCCAAAGGTGCTCAAAGGTCCCCAAAAGTCCCTAAATGTCCCCAAAGGCCACCCCTGTCCCTGTCCCGGCTCCTCCCGTGTCCCAGTTCTGTCCCCATCGGTCCCAAAGGTGTCACCTCCTGTCCCCAGCGGTGCCACCTCCTGTCCCGGCTCCATCCCTGTCCCCAAAGGTCCCTCCCTGTCCCGGAGCCGCCACCTCCTGTCCCCAAAGATGTCGCTCCCTGTCCCCAAAGGTCCTTTCCTGTCCCCAAAGGTCCCTTCTTGTCCCCAGCGGTGCCACCTCCTGTCCCCCAAAGGGCCCGCGCATCCCAAAGGTGTCGCTCCCTGTCCCCAAAGGTGTCCCCTCCTGTCCCCAAAGGTGTCCCCTCCTGTCCCCAAAGGTCCCTTCCCGTCCCAGCCCCACCCCCACCTGTCCCAAAGGCCCCTCCCCCTG